CAACCTCACTTTCGCCAAGAAGGACCAGCTCCGCCGGCACCTGGACAAGCACCGCCGGAGGGCGCGGCTGCCCGCCCCCCTCCGCCGCGGACGGAGGCCCGGGGCCGCCCAGCAGGACCCCCCAGGCTGCGAGGGCTCCTGGCCCGGCAAGCGGCGCAGGGTGGCCCTGCCCAGTGGGCCCCCACCACCCAGCCCGCCCCGGCCCCTGTCGCCAGGGGACGGCCGCTCCACGCCCAGAGGAGACACGTGCCCGGACCCGCCTCCAGCCTGCCTGGACGTGGCCACTCACCCCGCTGAGGAGCCCCGGAGGGCCCCCTCCGAGTCTCTGTCCACTGCCCCTGACCATGACAAAGGCAGCCGCAAGCAGTCAGGGTCCCCCCGGAGCCCCCGGGCGGAGGTGCCCCCCTGCGGCTCCTGCCCTTCTGCCCAGCAGGCAGCCCCACTCCGGCCAGGACCCAGGCGCCAGCAGACCGAGGAGAAGAGTGGGGTCAGGCCCGTGCCAGGGACAGACAGGCCGCCCGCTGCCCCCCGCCCAGGGGCTCCCTCCGCACCCCGGAAGCCAGACCCCAAGTGCCCTTCAGCTGCAAGGGGGAGCTCCGGGGGTCCGTGCCTCAAGCCTGGGGGCTGCCTGGGTGGGACCACCGCCGGCAAAGGCCCCCAGTTCCCAGCACAGCACAGGAAGGCCACAGGCAGCACCCCGCCCACAGGACTGGGTCCCCGGCACAGCAGAGACGCAGGCGGCAGCTGGCCCCAGCCGGCCAGCGGGCAGCTCCAAAGCGAGGCGGCCAGCACCCCCACCAGGGCCGACCCTGCCGGCCAGAGCCCTGCCCCAGACAGGCCCCCCGCCGAGGGCCACTCCAGGAGCCCCCCGGGGTCCGGGGAGGCTGGGAAGCGCAAGGAGAGGAGGAAGGCCCGGGGGGTCCCCTCTGTGCCCGACAAGCCCCCCCGCGCTCCCCGGAAGCAGGCCACCCCCTGCCGGGTGCTCCCTGCCAAGTCCCGGTCCGGGGCCCAGGGCGGCAGGGCCATACGGCAGGCCCCCGGGGAACCCAGGCAGCAGGCGCTGGCCAGGACCTCCCCCCACGCGGGCCCCCTGCACCGACGGCTCGAGAAAAGCTGTGGCAACTCGGTCATGGCAGCTGACAGCCCCCGCGCCTGCCGCACAGCCGAGTCCCAGAGCCGGTTGCTCAGCCAGCTCTTCGGGCCGCGGCTGAGCCGCTTCAAGATCCCTCTGAAGAAGGGGCCGTCGGCGTGAGGGGCCCACGCCCACCCCTGCCCGCCCCGTCCCCGACACAGGCGCTGGGCAGCGCTGCCGGAGCTCCCGGTGCTGTTTCATGTCGAATGTGAGCGAGGCCTGACCCGGTCCTGGTTCTGACGCCCTGCACTGAGCTGCTCCGCATGCCTCCCCACGGTGCGCCGCCAGGTTCTGCGTCCTGGGCGCGGTGGCTCTCAGGGCCGGCCACAGGCCGCCCCGGGTCTCTGGCACCAAATACATTCCCTGTTTGTGCAGAAACCTCCGTGTGGTGTCTGTGCTGCTGTGTCCACTCTGGCAGCCCTGGTCCATCTGGGACCAGCCTGGCGCTGCGGGACTCCGAGGATGGGCCTCGCCTGGCCACCAGGTGGCAGTGTCCTCCCAGTGTCCGAACCCTCGCCCGTGTGCAGACACCTCAACAACGGGGACACGCCACCTGCGTGACGCAGGCGTGTGCAACGGGAACCAGTCCCCAGAGGTCCCCGGCTGCTGAGGGCGACTCAGACGGCCCAGTGGGAGGACCTGGCCCCTCTCCCTGGGACCAGGGCGTTCACCACCGAGGGCAGAGCCCACGTGTCCATGTGGGAATGGAGGCCTCGGTGCCCACCTGTCCCTGATGGGGACCTGGGGTGGTCGGGGAGGGCAGGGGAGGCTCCCAGCCCTCTGGAAGGCTCCCGGCCCTAGTTCTGGGTGCCTGTGGCCGGGAGCGAGCCTGCACGGGGACGCCTCCCCAGCCCCTGCCCTGGCGCCCAAGGCCAGAGCCTCTGCTGCGCTTGTGGCCCCAACAGCTGTGCCCAAGGCTGCCTCCACCCCAGAGGGGCTGGCCGGCAGCCCGGGCTCAGCACGGCTCCCAAGGCCGGCGGTGTCCCGGGGGAACTTCAGGGGCCACTGCCCTCTGCCCGGGGCGTCTGTGGGGCCTCGTCGGACAGGGCCAGCTGAGCCCCCCACTGCAACAGGCTCCGAGGCTCCTCCCTCCCCCGCGCCCCCCCCCCAGCAGCCTGATTCCTCCCTCCTTTACTTTGACACCTCGATGCCGATGCGTGACCCTGCTCCACTCAGAACTCATTATCCCACTGAAACAGGAAGTTAATTACAGCCTTCAGAGCAGCGGTCAGGAGGGCCGCAGCTGCCTCCAGACCCCCGTCCTCGCCCGCCCATCCTCGGCACCACCCCCTCCCGGGAACGCCCGCTTCTCAGTGTCCTCTTTGTCCTTCAAAGTCAGATGTAAGTTTCTAGAACATTCCGTGGCTCCATGGGTCATGGCCTCACGGCCTCTATGGGGCTTTCCCCCTGGAGCAGTGCCGGGTGGCTAGGGAAGGGATGGGGGGGAGGGCGGTGAGCCTCAGAAGCTCCTGGGTCCCACTCACAGGTGGGGGTGCCTTGCTCTGATGGAGCCCGGGAAGCCCCCGGCAGCTGGGCAGGTGACGCCAAGCACATCTGCCCAGCGCAGGGGTCTCCCTGGCACTTCCAGTGCTGCCCGCTCTGCCTGCCGACCACAGGAAGTCAGGGAGGGGCAGGAGTCACCCACAGGGACAGGCCGGAACTGCCCAGGGGACAGCACTGCCTGGGCCCTGTCACCTCAGGCTGACTCCCGGAGACCCGCTCAGCGCTCGTGACCAGCAGCCCACGGGGAGAGAAGTGACCAGGCGTGCTCTGCCTGGGCATCGGCTAGTACCCTCACCCCCTCCATCAGGGAGGGCCTCCTGCAAATCCCACCTACATGCCACTTCCTCCAGGCAGTCTCCTAGTTTCTCTAGGCAGATTACAGAACCTGTCCTGAAGTCCTTACTTTGAGTGAGGGACCCCACACTATACCCCCATTATCCTGTTGCTGGTCCTGGTCAGCAAATGGGGGACCCACCTCCACCTGCCCGGCTTACGGGCATTTCGCTTTACACTCGGCTCGGCTGCCCCTGCCCAGCCGTGAAGAGCCCCCAGGAAGCCGCGTGAGCTGTGTCAGCCAGCAAACGTGGGCGACCCAAGTGACCTCCCAGACCTGGGCCCGGGCACCTGGAAGGCTGCAGCTCGCAAGGCACCCGCCAGCCCACCCACCCGCCCAGCTGGGCCAGCAGGGAGGTGTCCCTGGGCTTCCTGCTGGGGTGCCCCCTGCCCCAAGCTCTGCTCTCGGGCGATCCCCAGCAACCAGTAGCCCCCGATGTGGGGAAGGAGCAAGTCAGGAACTGCAGGACTGGGGCTGAAGCGATGGCATGTGGGCAGGGCACTGGTCTTGTGAGAGTCAATCCCCACCACCCCACCGAGGGTGACCCCTGAGCACAGAGCCAGGAGTATGTCCTGAGCATGTGGCCCCCAAAACAAAACTAACCAAAAAACCCTCAACAACAGCAACACAGATCAAATTTCTTCCAGAAACCCACTGCTGGGCCCCTGGGCTTCCCTGGGAAAGCCCTGGTGGGCCTGAAGCGTGGTCCAGTGGGCTGGACACTGGCCCACTTCTGAGGGGTCACTCGGCACGAGCGGCCAGTTACCCCCTCCTGCAGAAACGCCCCATGGGGGGAACCACGAGCCGGGGCTGATAGAGGGGAGGGGATGGGCATGCCCGCGGCCACCAGAAGCCTGGGAGATGCACTCCCGGCCAGTGGCCCTCCAGGAGGCCCAGGTCCATCAGAGGCGGCAGGGAGGACAGAGACAGGGCCCGGGCAGCAACAGGCTGTTGGGGGGGGCCCGGGAGCAGGGCCAGGGCGGGTTGGGGGTCGGGAGTAGGCCCCTCCCCCTAGCCCCCCCCCCCCAACTGAGGGCCTGGCTTGGGCATCTGGGAGGCCAGCCGGGTCCAGTGAGGCCTGCCTGGGGGCGGGGCCCAGGGGTGGGTCCAGAGGGACTCGGGTCAGGTGAGAGGCAATGCCGGGTGCGGACAGGACTGAGGCAGGGACCAGGTCGCCAGGCCTGGGGACGCAGCTGCAGGGCCCAAAGACTGGAGTGGAGGCCAGAGGTCCACAGAGGGCCGGCCCAAGAAATGAAGCCCAGTGGGCGGAGCTGCAGGGAGGGCGGGGCCAAAAGAAGGGCGGGGCCAGCTCAGAAGGAAGCGCAGCCCGGGGCGGGGCCAACGGGCGGGCGGGGCTACACGGAGAGGCGGGGCCTGAAAACCGGAAGTAAGCGCGGTCGGGGCGGGGCCAGAAGGGAGGGGCGGGGCCTGTGCCGCGGGCAGTGAGGAGCGAGCCGGGCGGGTCCGCGGTGGGCAGCGGGCCCGGCGCGGAGCAGACCCGCGGCGCGGCGAGGTACTGAGTTCGCGGCCGACGGGCCGGCGCTGGGGCCGGCGGCGCCGGCGCAGGGCGGGGCCGGGACCGACCGGCGCGGGGGCGGGGCTGTGCGCGGGGCGGGGCGGGGCCGGCACGGGCCGGCGCGCAGGGGGCGGGGCTGCGAGCGCGGGGCGGGGCTGCGAGCGCGGGGCGGGGCCTGCGCGGGGGCGGGGCCGGGGCGGGGCCGGGAGGCGCCGTGACGCGCAGGCCCCGCCCGCCCGCGCGCCCGCCGCCGCCGCCGCCGCCGCCGCCGCGAGCGCCCTCGCCGTGGCCCTCGGTGTCCGCTCCTGCTGGCCGCGCGTCCACTGGGAAACGAGCGGCGGCGGCGGCGGCGGCGGCGGCGGCGTCCGCGCGCAGCCGAGCCGGGCAGCCGGCAGCGCCCGCCCCCGCCGTCCCGCGCCCCGGGCGCCCGGCCGGGCCTCGGCCTCGGCGGCGGCGGCGGCGGCGCGCGGGCGGGCGGGCGGGGGGCGCGGGCCGGGGCGGCGGCGGACGGGGTCGGGGGCATGCGCCGCCCCGCGGCCCCGCCGCGCCCCCGCCGCCCGCCGCCGCCCGCCAGGGGCTAGAGGCGCCGCCGGAGACATGTCCAGGAGGAAGCAGAGCAACCCCCGGCAGATCAAGCGTGAGTCAAACTTTGCCCGCGCGCCCCCCGGCCGCGACCTTCGCGCCGCGCCCCCCGCGCCGCGCCCCCGCCGGCGCCCGCTCTCGGCCGGCGCGGGGGTCCCGCGGCGGGCCGGGGGCGCGGCCGCGCGGCGCCGCCCCGCCCGCCCGCCGCGCGCCCCCAGATGCTGGCGATAAGGCGGCCGATCCGGGCGCAGATAAAGTTTAAAATATTCCATTCTGCAAGTCCCGTCCTGATAAGATCGCGCTGTCGGGACGGGCTGAAATTGTGATCTTATCCGCCGGGTCGGCGCTCCCGGCCGCGGTCGCAGGGGAAGGAGGCGCGGGGAGCCGGGGCCGCCGGCCGGGCCGGGCCGCGCCGGGCCGGGCCGGGCCGGGCGCGCGCCGGGACCTGTTCGCAAACTTGGCCCGCCGCGCGCCCCCGCGCCCGCGCCACGGGGCGCAGGCGCGCGCGGAGCCGGCGGCCGGGAGCGGAGCGACCGACCCCCGCGCGGCCGGGCGACCCTGGCGCGCGGGGCCCCGGGGCGCGGCGGGCACGTGGGCGCGGCGGCGGTGCCCACCGCGGGGCCCGGCCGGGGGCGGGGCCGGCGGCGTCACCTGCCGGCGGGCGGGTGGGGGTGGCACGGGCCGGGGGTCCCCTGCGGCGGGGGCGCGGGCCGGGGGTCCCTTGCAGTGAGGGCGCGGGCCGGGGGGTCTCTCGCGGCTGGGGCGCGGGCCGGGGGTGTCCTGCGCGGGGGGCGCGGGCCGGGGTGTCCTGCGCGGGGGGCGCGGGCCGGGGTGTCCTGCGCGGGGGGCGCGGGCCGGGGGTGTCCTGCGCGGGGGGCGCGGGCCGGGGTGTCCTGCGCCGGGGGCGCGGGCCGAGGGTCCCCTGCCGCGGGGGCGCGGGCGGGCCGGGGCCTCCTGCGCGGGGCGCGGGCCCGAGGGCGGGGCGGGGGGCGCGGGCCGGGGTCCCCTGCCGCGGCCGGGGTGGGCGCGCCGCTGCCCGCGCCCGCGAGCGCCTTTTGTTCGCCCGGATCGATGTGGCGCGCGATAGCGCGGGCGATGGGCCGATAGGCGCTTCCATTTATTAACTTCAAACGCGCGAGCGGGGGCGGCCGGGCGCTCGCGCGGGGGGCGGGGGGCGCGGGGGACCCCGGCCCGCGGAGCCAGGGTCGATGCGAGCCCGATAAGGGCGCGCCGGGGCGGCCGGATGGCGATGCCGCCGCGATAAGGGGCCTTATCTCCGGCCACCAGGCCCGGCCGGTGCAGGCGACAACGGCGCGGGTCCTGGCGGGCCGTGGGCAAGTTTCATCCCGACACGCCTGGTGGCGGGGCGGGACGGTCCGGGGCTGGACCCAGCCCGGCGCCGGGGGTCGTGGCGGGGCCGCCCCCTCCCGATCGCCCCCTTTGCGAGAGTGGCCAGGGGACGGTGGGCTCTGGGCCGCGGATGGAGCGCCGGCCGAGCAGAAGGGCGGGGCTGTGCCTCAGTTTCCCGCTCTAAAGCTGGGGCGGGCGGGGGCAGGTAGAATCAGCAGCAGGGGGTCCCCTGCACACAGGGCCCACCCCCCTCACACCCCGTTTTCTCAGGCCCGGGCGCAGGCTCAGAGGTGGGCGTTTCCACACGTTCCCAGAGTTCGATTAAACAAATTTTTGGAGGTCACAGGATGACTAATTCCTGCCGAGCTTCAAAGCCACCAGCACCCGGACGCCCACCAGGGCGGCTTCCGGAGCGCAGGGCCAGGCCGGGGGGACCGGGCTCCCCTCCCCATGACGGGCCCAGCGAGCATGTCGCAGAGGGGACTCTGCCGCCTGCAGCCTCAGTTTCCCCTGGGAGAGCATGACAGCAAGGGCTGGAGCCTTGTGGCCGAGAGTTCGGCAGTGACCCTGATGCCTTGGTCCCTCCCAGCAGGGTATGCGAGAGGCTTTTCCACGTCCAGGGAGACGGGCCGGGAACCGCCTTCCCGCGCAGACCGAGCGCTCGGACTGTGCCTCACGGCCCTCCGCCAGCTTCCACTAGTGAGGCCTCAGTCGTCACGCCCAGGAAATGGGCCCCCACAGCCAGAGCCCCTTCCCGGGACACAGCTGTCTGCAGCGGCCGGGGCCCTGGGCCAGCCTGGCCGCCCCTCGTGCTCCCCGCGCCCGGGGTCAGAGGGAGCCAGTGTGGCACCAGCGCCAGGGATTTAAATGGGTCAGTTGGGGAAGAAAGGAGGGAACGTGATGCCATTAATTGTGTCCTTATCTGCTGTTTCTATGCCAACCAGACGTCCCCGGGCCTGACGGCCGTGAATAACACTGGGCCTCTCTGCCGTGGACAGGCCTCCGGGAGACCACTGCTGCTGGGGATCTCTGTCGCCCGCTGCCCCGGCCCCATTTCACAGCAGGGGAAACTGAGGCCACACTCAGGCCTGCACGCCAGGCCCAAGGTCTGGAGGGGCAGTGCCTCGGCTTCCGGCAGGGATGTCCCCCTGGGATCACTCTCTGGCCCAGACTTGGAGCCCTCTCTGTCACTTTCACCCTGGCCTCTCGGTCTAGGGTCACCTCTGCCTCCGTAGCGACCAGTCCCTCTCTTCTTGCCCCTGCAGAGTGGGCCTTCTGGAACCTTCCATCAGATTCACAAGCTCACAGTAGATGGACGTGGGCTCCGGTGGCCATTGTAAAGGCTCCAGCCTGGACCTGAGCAAGCCTCAGTTTACCCATCTGTAAAATGGGCCCCTCAGGGCCTTCCCTCTCCTTGTTCAGCTTGGTGCTTGGCGCTTCTTATCCAGGCAGAGTCCTTCCCACCTGTGGCCCTCAGCGGACCCTGTCTGAAGGCCCTGCAGGTGCCCACTCCTGGGGCCTGTGGGCGGAGCCTTCCTGGTCAGTCCCACCCAGTGACCCCGCCCCATCCCCTGGCTTCTCGATCTGCCTGGGACCCCGGGTGTGGAGCGTAGGGTCTCCCAGGTGCACTTTGCAGGTGAGGAGCTGAGGGGGACAGGAGGGGCAGCAAGGAGTCCAGCAGGCACAGGCATGGGGGGGTCCCGCAGGAGTGTGGCCACGTCACGGTGGTGCCCGTGCGTGCCCTGGGACCTCAGCCTGGCACTGCACTTTCACACGAGATCATGTCTAGCCTGGGCCCAGCGGGCCAGCCTGGACAGCCGAACGTCCTGCCAGGGACTCCCAGTGACCCCAGAGTTGTCTGTGGGGCAGAGATGCAGCTGCGTAGCCCTGACGCTCGGGCCATCTCCGAAGGCGCGTCCTTTCTGCCGCACCAGCGTTGGTGCCCGGCATTGGTGGCCAGCACTCCTGACGGCCCCTGGGCTGTCAGTGCCCCCAGGAGCAGCCTCAGGACCCCAGAAGAGGGAGAGGGCCCCCACTCCCCATCTGGGAACAGGGCAGGAAGGTGGTGTGTCCTGGAGTCAGGCCGCTAAGCCTCTGTCCCTGCGCCTGTCCTCCTTGCCCCTACGCCAGCCCCAGGCACTTGGTGGCCAGCTGGCACAGAGGGCCCCAGACCCCTGTCCATCCGCCCATCTCCCCTCCCGCAGTGCACCCACATCCAGCACCCAAGACATGCAGGGCCTGGGAGGGTGGGCGCTGCTCAGGAGCCTGGTGGACACGGGCACTTGGGCAAGCCCAGCGCAGCTCCTGTGTGGGCAGCCGTGGCCCTGGCAGGTGCGCTGCCCCAGGAAAGGGCCCCACCCATCCCACTGGCTTCCCCGGTGCCCACGACCCAGGCCAGGCTGCTCTTTGTGGGTGCAGAGTTGCCCTGCCTTGTGGAGCCTCAGTTTCCCCAAAATGGAACAGTGGTACCCTGGACAAGGAGTCCAGCCTCCAGCTTGCTGCCTGGGATGGGGGTGCCGGCGTCTGCCAAGGCACCAACCCCGTCACAGCCTGTAGCCTCAGTTTCCCTTTTCTCCATGACCCCTCTCTTGGGGTCCAGCTCAGGTACAGCAGGACAGGAAGGGGCCGGGCCGGGCCGGGCCGGGCCGGGGTGGTGTGTGCCCTGCCCCGCTATGGGCTCCACAGCTGACTGGGGGCGCCTGGCGGGCCGGGACCCTCCCGTCTGCCCTCTGCACCCCTGCTGCTGGGCCGAGAGGCCCCCTGGCTCCGTTTCCTCGGCTGTGTCCTCCTGTGCAAGTCCAGATCTGCCCATCCCGGGGCCTCTCCGGCAGGGGCCCAGGAGGTGGGTGGCCCCCGGGGCCCCACCAGGCTGCCCGGCTCCGCTGCCCGAAGCACCCCGGCCGCCTCCCGCGGGCCGGGGCGGGCGCAGGTTTCAGCCGCTGTGATAACTCGGAAAGTTGAACCGGCCCCATTACCGCGCCGAGATGGTTGGCGAGATCCGGGCCTGATAGTGGGCAGATAGGGCGTCTCCCGGAGTGGCCGGCCTCCTCGCCATTAACATTCCCCACCGCGAGCCCTCTGCCTATCTCCCTGCTCCACTCCTCCCGCAGATAAGAATGGAAATTCTGACTTCATTGCTCACTGATTAAAGTGTCTGGATTTCTCGATAATACACAGATAAATTATGTTTTTGAAAAAGAAGGTGGGGAGGGTGGGGGCCCCGGGGGCGCCTTTGGACGCCTCTGCTGGCCCTGCTGGCCCCGGCCGCTGGCCGTGAACCCAGGCCGCGGCACAGGCAGTGTCGGCCGGCCCGAGTTAGGCTGGAGGGAGGAGCCCGGCCCGCCTGGGTGGGGGTGGGGGCTCTGCCCCCCGCCGCTCCGAGCCGCTGTAGTCTGACCAGCGCCTCATCTCTGGGCCTCGGTTTCTCCGTCTGCCAAGGCCTGGGGGGAGAATGCAGCCCCCCCCCGACTGCCTAGAAGACAGAGCCCGTCAGTGGAAGGGGGCGGGGGCCGACCTGCCCACCCTCGCCCCCAGCCCCACCCACCTCCCCCGTCCCCACGCCCTGGCGCGACCCGCGTGACAGCGAGGCTGGCAGCGTCGGTCTGGATAGAGCTGCTCCTTCAGCTGCTCCGAGATCTGCGCCGATGGGGCGATTAGGGCGATTAGGGCCGCGTGCGGCTAATCCTGCAGCTGAGGGACAGGCGC